AAGACTTTCTTCTGACAGTAAATGGCTCACAGCAGGTGTATAATTAGAAAATTTCACACAGTGGTGCTCACAGCAGAAGTATAAACAATAATATATTTGAAAGGAGGACAGATTCACTGAGCTCCTCTCCTTTTACTACAAATAAAAGTTATGATCATACAGAAGTTTACACAAAGTAGAAAAGGAAGAGATTTTTTAAAATTCATTATCTGATCTATATTATAATAAAAATAAAGTAAAAAATGACTGGCACCTTATGGTGCAATCAAATACTACTTTATGAAGCATATAGTGTAATGTTCAAATTATTTTAAGACAAATAGGTGTTACTGGATCTCTATACAAGCTGTAGCTGCAGTAGACTGTATTGTTCCTGTAATTTTCTCCACCCTTTGTTTGTAGTGATGAGTGGAGGGTCTGAACTGTTTTCTTTTTACTCACACTATGCCATTCCCACATTTGTCGCAGATGGGCAGTTTCTGCAGGTTTCCTGTGGGCGGTGCTGGCTTGGTTGTGGGGGCTTTTACTGTCTTGGTCACAATGGGACGAGTGCCTGTCCATATGGTAGAAAAACCACTCAGCAAAACAAAGGAAACACACTGAGGAGAGCTTTTCTTGGAATGATGTACTGTGAAGCTTTAATACTACTTGATTAATAAGAGGAAAGACACTGGGGGGGTGGGGGGGTCCACACAGTAATGACATATTGTGTATCTTTAAATGTGTATGTTAAGAGACTGATCATTCAGCTTCAAAATATTTCATAAACAGTTTAAATACTAACATTATATAATCTGTATGATCTTCCATTGTTCTCTGAAGTAATAGGGGAAAAATATGTCATGAAATAATCAAAACTGTTCTGACTTTGGCAGAAGATTCATTTTCCACATAAGTTGCTATAATTTATAGTGAGACTGAGAAAATATGTTTGAAAGTCTTTTAAAACATCTATATAACGTACAATCACGTGAAGAAAACATATCATCTGTAAAGAAAAAGAAAGATCTCACCATCACTCTCAATATACTCCTGCAGGGCTTTGAAGGAGCCAGACTGCCGAGGCTCGTGGGGCTCTTCCTCGTCTGTCTGTAACATCCGGTACACATCAGAATCCTCTATCTTGGTCAAAGCCCTGGGGCTGAGCAGCACATTTGAACACACACATACATACAGTACAACACCTGTCAGAATGCAAATACACACTAACTGCAACACAGTCCTGCTCTGGTCTAACAGTTGCTTTATGACAGTGACAAAGTAAACAAATGAATTTTCCCCACCCCACCCTCTGTCCGTGTCATTAAGAGGTACTGCTTCATGCTCTTAACTGCTTTCCCCCTGAAGCTTGTGGTTAGTGAGGGCAGTAGATCAGGTGAGAACAACCAGCTGGAGATCATAGAGCTACAGCACAGTGAGTCAACCTTAAAAAGAGAAAGAAGGGTTAGATGCTAAATGTGGGATGATTGACACAGAGGAGAATGAGAACTATGCTGATGAACAAACAGTTTTAGCTCATATTTGCATCATGCCCTAGAGTGATAGCGTCTGTCACAGTGATGGTTTATACTGTTTGTGTGTGGTTTACCAAAGATTACTTAGTCTGTTGGTAGGAGTATACATAACAGCATCCATGTACACAGCGTACATTAGCAGAGTGAGCCTGTGTTGTATCTGGTGACATGACCTCAGTTGGATGTGATTTAGTTCTTAATCAGAAGTCGTGGCTAAGCCATGGAAAGATTCATTCCTGTGTGCTGTGGTAATATTCTCTGCGTGACACACCATATATCAGGTAGCCTAATGAAATCCACATGACTGCATGAAGAGGCTAAAGGCTAACATACTGTAGCACATCTGTGGCCACATTCATGTGAAACTTTCAAGCATACAGAGACTGATTGGCAGGGTGAGACAGGAGATGAGTCCTGTAAAGAGCAGGTGGATTAGAATAAATGTAACTACAGCAAAGCAGAAAAAACAAAGGCCATTGTGAGGCTTTAATATGCATTACGCGTGAAAACAAAATCTAGAGAACTGGGCATTGAAGCAAAAATGTCTATTTTAGATCCTTAGTGAGGCAAAATATGTAACAGCTTGGACTTTTGTTAAAGGACTGATTATTTAAAAATGATAAAAATTAACAATGAAAACAATCATTAGTTGAAGTCCTAAAGCCAGTTAGCAAGATGTGCTAACATTTAATTCATGAGCAATGTTAGTAATTAGCATGTTAACAAATGCTAACCATTGTACATATTTATCTGAAAGCTCTTCATTTACATTGTGTATATATATATATGTGTGTATTTATTAATAGATTGATGTTTTTGTCTCTTTTTTATTATTTAAATGCACATATTTTTTCTTGTTGACTTACAAAAGCACATTCAGGGGCACTGTACCAGAGTCAAACTCTGTGTGTGCACAACATAGTTGGCAAATAATGATGATTCAGATTAACGTGTTGGTGAAGGAGACATTTTAAATTGTTGATGGCACAAGGCGAAAAGAAAAAGGAAAAAGTCTTTCTTGCCCTCATGGCCATGGATTTATTACAAAATGTGGAAACAATGTAGTGCTAGGAGTGCAAATAAGACCAATACACTGACAGGGTCTTTGTAGTTTGTAATTCTTTATAGGGCAAAGACTTTTAGGCCCAAGTGCATCATGTGATCTGCTGATTCTGATTGTGGCCACTGTGCCAACATCATAGTGCAGCCCCAGTGCTAGTCCCAGGGAATTGGGACCAAAAATGTTAGTATCAGATTTAATAGCAGTCCATCCAATAGCCATCATGATACTGGGGCTAAAATGATGGACAGGCTAAACGCCAAACTGTCATAGTCAGTGTATTTACAACTTACATGGCTTCTAATGACCCTAACTGCCATGACAAGCTGCAGTGATCAGTCACCTCTCAGGCTTGTGGTGGACAAGGCCTCGGATCTGGCCCTCCATTGCATCCTGGATATTGCTAGCGGAGTAAAGGCCTATAGGAGTGTTGTAGGTGGCACTGACCACCTGATGCTTGTCATCGATGTTCGCTGCCGCAACAAATGGTTGAGCTCTCCGGTTGTGAGCAGCGCCAATAGGTTTATACTCCTGAATAGAGTGGAAAGGAACAAGAACAGTGCTGAGACAGTATGGGATGAAAATTGAACCGAATCAGATTTTGACACACTCTTATAAACCTGCTGTTCCGCTTCCAGGTTGATTTTATATGGGTGAGCTCTGCCTTCCTCCACAACACGTGGTGACCACAGTTTTGCTTCATTCCTAGGAATCAAAGACAGATCCTGTTCAGTACGTCAGACTAACGAGCTGCCTGCTGAAACACGCTGAGTGTGTGAGAGTTTTCTATAATCCTAACTCATTACACATCAGTACAAGAGTTTCAAATGGTTGCTTAAATGTTGGTCTTTTCCTGTCATACCACAGAAGACTTAACATTTCACAGTGGGTTTCAAGTGTATTCACATGTAAAATATGACAAAATTAAGATAAAGTCATAATCCATACTATTGTACATTTACTTGCTTTTTGAATGTGCTAATGGACATTCATGCCTCCAAATGTAACCCAAATAAAGAAATGAAAGAGCATGCTCACAACTGGAAGCAACACACAACTCAGAAGGTGGCAGTAAAGCTCCAGAAAAATGTGTTTGGTATCATTTCCTGTTAGTACAAAACAGCCTACACATTTTTTGCAACTGTAAAAACATAGCAGTATGAGGACCAGTGCATTTCTACTTGGTTATGGACCTAGTGGACACAGTGAAACAACAATGCTACAATATGTAATGCAATACAATATCAAAAAATGGCCTGACACGGAAATGGAACAATATAAGCTTCACAAACACAGTAATTATTTAATGGCTAGTGAACATAAATTTTACAAAATTTGATTGTGTGGAGCAGCTGTTGCCTGTGCCTTTCTACATACAACCTTTCAACAGAGAGACGGAGCTGATTGGTGGACTCTTTAATCTTGTTCTGGGCTTCGCAGTGCAGCATGTCTGTGGCTGGAACTCCCTCGATGGCCACGATGACATCACCAGGGCACAAGTTGGCTATGGCGGCCTTACTGCCTGGTGTGATCTTAAAGTGAGTAGAAGAAGAAATACATGAGGAACCACTGAACAGTTTGATGGAATGAGATGAAAATGATACAGATCCTACACTATGGCCTTTACAGTCACCACCTCACAACCCTGTTACAAACCTATGGGAGATTTTGTATTAGACATATTAGACCATCAGTCACTATTAATGTGTTTAATCCATGAGAAAACAAATCCCTCTATAAATATTTTCTGTTATTAGTAAATTAATTTAGGTCAAGACCTGTACAATTTGAGACTGTAGATGTAGTTTGCTTACACTGATCACAACAGTCAAATGAAGTTTGTCTAATTTATACTATGTTCATCTTCGATTGAATGACTGTGTATGAATTCTTGAAGTACCAAACATCATGTGGAAGTTAAGGGATCAATACTATGTGAATGAATTAGCAAAGATACTTTTTAAAAATAATTATTTCACATGAATCTCTGTCTCTCCTCTCATTCCATTTAGTTCAGATGATGCAGTCTTGGTCTGTTCTTCGTCACTGACACTCCATCTCTTAAGTCAGAACTCAGCTGCAAGGCTCCTTGTTCATGTTTTCCTGCTGGGATCATTGCTTTTTTATCATTTTCTTTTCTCTCTGATTCTCACTTGGCCTAAATACTCCAAAACACAGACTCCACTAAGAAGCACAGCTTTTCAGTCAAGCTCAGAAAAGATTCAGGTCATGAATGGCCTGGATCGACCTTTTTTTCCACCATATGCACTTTGAAAAACACTGGCTGCTGTCTGAGATGTGCAGAAAGGTTCCCGTTATAAGGCATTGCCCTGGCTGGTATGCATGCATGTAAACTGTCTGTCCCTTGTCATGGAGATAAAGTAAACATGTGCTTCTTATTAAGTGACAGCATCCAGATGGAATATGCATTCTGCCAGCCAGGAAGTGATCAAGATGAACAAGATGAACAAGCTGCCAGCCAGGAAGTGATCAAGATGAAGAAGAACTCTGAGAAATCCATCAGGGTCACGGAGAAGACATAAGGAGGCAGCTTCAAACTGAACTGAACATTCCCACTCAAACTACACAGGGCATGACCTATGCTCAGACATATTGCATTACGGAACGTAGGAAACTAATCTACACTGGGCTGTTGAACTGTAACTTGAATTGGGTCATCTGCCTATAAATAACTGTCGATGTGTCATGCTGCCAAAGAGGGAGCAGTAATTTACAGTGGAGCATTTGTTGGAGTGCTGCTCTCTGACTGCTCTGTTAGCCGAATCTGTATACATGCTTTTTTTTACTGGATTCATTTGTTCAGTGGATGTGTTTTGTCACGTCAGACATCTGTTTATACAAGTACAATCATCAATTCTGTCTTTCTCCTTCGGTCTATTTTCTTGCTTCTTGTTTCTTTCTCTTTTCCATCATTACATCCAGGTGTCTTCCATCTTTCCTTTCAGCTGCTGCTTCGACTCCTGCTCAAGCATGACAATCCCCAAAACAGAAATAGAAGAATCAATAACAAAACTAAATTCTTACTTTACTATATACTTGAGCGCAAATCTATTGTGAAAATGTATGAAGCGAGGATTTAAAGAAGAGAGAATCCAGAAGTACTGGGAAATCTGCTGGGTTCAAATGTTTGTTGATTTGACATGGAAGTCACTTAAAGGAACACTCCAGCTTTTTTTGTACTTAAAGCTACATTCATCACAAATTTTAAATTAATGATTATTAAATGACTATCAAAAAATTTAAATGGGTCACTTGTAGTGACAAATCTACAGAGAATGGCACCTGATGGTGCCATTATGTGAACCACCATGTTCACATAATGGCACCAGATGGAGAAACGGTGCATTTTCTTTTGTTGAATTTATAAAAATGTGTCTAAAGTCTGTGCTGCTTTTAGATGGAAATCTAGTGTCCCTACTACTACTGTTAGAAATGTGTAGTCTCCAGGCTCAAGCTAAAACAACCATGAAAACATCACCAGGGTTATTTTCTGAAGCTCCTCCGGAGCTCCAGACAAACTAAGACAGCTGTTTTCACAAGCTCAGCAGTAACCCCATGACATAAAGAGCAAGTAAACAGCTCTTAATGTGTAAAGTCAGTGCAGAGCCCTTTAAGTTTGCTGTCTGCTGAAGAAAAAGCTAATAATCGCTTGTGTTTACGTTCCTCAACCAGCTTGGACCACTGACAAGTCACAAAGTGGAGGATGTTCTTGACCAAAAATGGCAGTGAAGAGGAGACACTGGATTGACTTTGCTTGAATGAAGCCTGAGGGGTCATTGCAAAAATGCTTTTAATTGACACATAGATAGTGAATGTATTATGAGGCGTCTGTCCGGCATACAAGAGCTCTGTCACAGTCTTATATTTCATACAAATCTCTTTTACAAGTACATTTTAACACGTTGCTCCTTGTATTACCGCTCACATATAAATGACTTCATTGATTCCTCTCCTTCCTCACCCTTCTCTCATCACTGTTCTCATATGGGCCATTGAGTGTCCACTATCTCAACAGGTGTGCGGTTATTGGACAGAGCCACTCCTCTGAGACCTAACTGTGCTTTTAGCCAGTAGTTTCTGAGGTCTTTCACTAAAAATAGACAGACATAACTCCAACAGAGCAGGTTTACTGGAGCTCCTCACATCTGATCTAATGAATCTAAATACGGACGACGACACCACTGTTCATATTCAGGATGTTTACTGCTGTGTTTTGTTTGGGTGGAAAGAATCACTTCACAAAAAAGTAAAACATTTTCAAGAGTAAATAAATCTTTGTGCTAACTTAAGCTAACTGGTTGCTAGCCCCAGCTACATAGGAACCATACAGAAAGAAGCATGGTATCAGTCTTCTTATCCAACTACTTCTTTAAATGGAGTACATTTATTGCAAAATTCTGTTTATTTTGATTGAATAACCATATACGTGCTTCTGTTGTTTGGCAGCACTTTATCTCAACATGAAAAACCATATAGAGAAATCATAACTCTCTTCCACAAATGAATATAAATTCAGATTCGCTAGACTGAATCAGTTTCAATCAGTTTGCCCTTTTCTTTTTTAACCAAGTATCAGTCTAACAAATCATTTGCATAAGTGTCTGTGATCTGGTTACTGTATCTGTGAGTTTTCTATAATAAATTACAGTCATGTAAGTGTACTTAGATTATATGTAATTTATCACCTGCAAGCTTTCACTGAATTGTCAGTATATGAGGACGGATGTTGTTGTGCATTGACCTCAAACACTAAGGCACAATTTCCAATCATAAATTCTTTTCTGTGCTGATTCAGTATATTGTGTAAAGCTGATTCTACTTCCTGAGAATTTCACATTTATGTTTCCCAATTTAGAGAGAATTCATGCTTTAATCTGGTTTAGGTATGTGCTGATTCACACACTCCTCAGGACTTGAGTACATTTTTAGGAGCAGTTTCCATGCTAAATTCTTCAGTCTGCCATTCACTCAGTGAGACATGCATGCCTGTGTATGCACATGTCAGACTACAGTGTAAGCTGCTATTTGTATCTAAGCCTCTTGTATTTACTGTGGCACAGGTGCAAGCCCCACACCACACTGAGCCCAGACAGACCCTTTCTAGAATGAAGCCTATGGAGACACAATGTTGACCCTAAAGCAAAGACCAACTCCTCTGATCAGGACCACATTCACATTGACATATTAGACATTTGACTGACATCATAACAGTAGAAACATTGTCATAGCAATGTATTTATGTATCAATTTACAACCAACCATTTTGCTCAGACACCTCTAAAAATGTGCTAGGAAAAGATTTTAAATAAGTTAGAAGTAAGATCAAGTTATTAAGAGAAAAATAATTTGGCAAACTGAATTCTGCATCACTTTTCTTCTGGTCTTATAGAGTTATCAGAGTCTGCCTCACTCACCCTGGAGATGGTCAGGGGCTGGTTGAAGTCCTTTCCTCCTGTCAGGCGAAACCCCCAGGGGGCCGGACCGTCCAAAACAACATTCATTGGCATGACCCTTCAATGTCTCTCACTGTTATATAACAACAGCACAGGCAGTGAACTGCACACTGCAGGGACCACAGTTAAAGAGCAAAGGACTATCAAAGTGATGGAGACTTTGAACCATGTTGGTGGGGGTGGCAGGGGGAGGAGAATGGACAGACCCCACCCCAGGAGTGAAGTAATTGGTTGGACTTTGGGAACTCAGTCTGTTCTGCCAGCACATGCTCACCAGTTTTCCTAGTTCTGTTTATTTTCTCTCTCTGTACTTGTCTCTCCAAATACACACCAGAGTTTTGCCCCCTAAACCAGGTACAACTCAAATGTCTCCGTTTGGGTTCACACACAGCGAGTACCTACATGTACAGTATATGGACACTTGCAGACAGAGTGAGGATATAGACCAGCCTGTCTCAGACTCCAGGCCCCCTCATCTCCTCTCATCTCCGAGCAGCTCAGTAAGGCATAGCCTCTTACTTGCTCTGGTTGACAGGTCTTACTGCTCCAGTCCTTATTTGGTCTGGACACGCAGCTCCACTCTGAGGCCACGGATGTCCCACAGGCACATTCCAGACACTATTGATCTGGATGGGACCCAGGAATCTCACTCCTGAGCTTATTAACAATCCAGTTTTATTGTGAGTTGCATTTTTCACCACATCACTTCGTTCTCTGTCTTTATATCACCGACTAGATCTGTCACATATGTGTTGTCTCTCAAAAATTGACTCTAGCCAAAAATAAGACTTAATAACTTTGTTCTTTATCTGTGTTTTATTCATGCCTGCTCAGGATAGTTTTTCTCCATGTGCTACATTCCTTTCTGCCTGCTTGACATCCAAAATTTATTTCAACACCAAATGGGATTTATGTGGCTCCTAGGGCACTTTGTAAAGAAACTGAGTAAGGCACCACTGACAAGCTTTTGCTTCGACTAGGACAAGTTTCCATCATGCAAATAAAACAAAGTGCCAGTTGTGCAAATTGAAAATTACACCACAGACTCCATCAGCCTTGAGTCTTTTTCTGTGCAAGTGTTTCAAAGTGGAGCAGCTTCATGATTAGTTTCTGTAGCTATCATAACGACAAGTCTAAGTTGATGACGACAAACTCATCTCTGGACAGATTCATAGCAGTCTGCCTTAATAAACTCGTTGTCTGCCATACTAACATCTGCACGAGAGTATATTTAGCACAAATACACAGGAAGTTTGTATCATGCCTTTGTGTATGTTTTACTTGAAAGAAAGAAACTTTAGGCTTTTCCTGTTTAGGGGTCGCCACAGCGAATCGTCACACTGATGACTCGCATGTTGACATTTGGTATGTGTTTTACGCCAGATGCCCTTCCTGACGCTGCACCTCAACCACTAGCCGACCAGGGACGGCTGTGTATGTTTTACTTGATCAACTTGTAATAGAGACAAGTTGCTATCATTTAAGGTAAATAAAGATGAACTGAACTATATGACTTGTATATGACAGACGATCACTGTCTTTTCAGTATTTTGTACATGCATATTTGTCAAGCACAATTCTGGTTTATATTCTGATTAGGCAGTCTGTAAACTAAAATGGAAAGCAGCATTTCACAACCCACACTGACTCAGTGTTGTACCTGTAACCACACCCAACAGTGACGTTATGGTGTACTGTCACACCATGTAGGACACCGAGTGCTGCAAACTGAGAGGTTAAAAGACAATTCTGGTGATATTTTGAACTGAGAGGTTAAAAGACAATTCTGGTTTGTTATCATCAAACAAATCCAATGAAAAGATTAAAACTAACAATGATCCATTTCTCTCTACGAACTATTAACCCCACCACTGGGAGGCACATTCCTTCATTACCATGAACATGGACAAATGCTCAGGTACTCATGTCCACACCAGATGTGTAGCTGATGACAGAGCTCCACCAAATGCACCGTTAACCTGTTTGTGTAACGTTCAATGGAAACCACACCCAAAAAAAAGCATATATTTGTGATGTTTCTAAAGCTATATATTGTCAGTAGGAAGAAATGTGCTTGGAGCTGAGTGCCACACACAGCATAGGAAGGTACCGAGAGTTCGACTAACGTACCATTTTGTTCCATCATGGATTTCTTGGAAAATATATGACCAGCCTTATCCTTCTGACCACTGGAGCTCAGTTAGACTTGGAGCTGGCGCCAGGTTGCTCTCAAGTTTGACTTTTTGTCAAACCTCATGAATTAGACTTTTTTTTCTTTTTGTTGTAATCAATCAATCAAATAAAAAAACAAACAAACATTTCTCACCAAAACCCATGTGCCTTTACAATCAAACAAAACACCTGGAAAGCCTTTTTCTTACCACACCACCACCACCAGCTGCTGATATGTGGAACTGTGTGAAATAGAGGGATAAGAATGTGTATCAGCTCACCTGTGTACTTCGACTACAACAGGCTCCACAAACACAGAAGGGTCCCTTAAAATGGCATATATGACATTTTCCTCATCAGGTTTGTTCATCTATTAAGTTGAAAGCACAAAAATATTAGAACTATTTAGTCTACTAGCTAGATTTTTATTAGCAATACAGCCGCATAAAATCATCCAACAAATGCTAACATACTGTAGAAATACTTAGGTCCAAGAATGTGCAGTAAACTTGATACTGACAGGAATAACATAAGATTGGCATTTTCATTACATGTATAAACATATCAAGTCAAATTCACGTCTTCGGTTCAAATCTGTACCTACAAAGGCAGACTGGACACGTTAATGAATGTTTCAACACTGCAGAATTTATGTGCACACCTTCACATACTTCCCTGGCATTTTCTAGACTACATATGTATAAATTATTATTATTATTTTTTTGCATCACAGAAGAGATTTACATATACATGGCTATTAAATTAGTGAGTTGGATATAAGGCAGCAGTCACCAACTCTACTAAATCTACCTACAGTTTAACTTCAGTTTAAATCGATCACTGACCCTTAAAACAACAAATAAAAATGATCTACATGCCTGGCTACAATAACAGCTTCATAAAAAAAGCAGAAATTAGCACCACTGCTGATGAAAATATGACAAAAGAAGGCGAGGAAATATGATGGGTGAGAAATGGCTGACTTTATAAAGCAAGTAGATGTCTCATACAAAAAGCTTACAAAAACACACACACACGCGCACAGTGTTCTCAAACCAAATGAAACAGTGGAAACGGGGTGACGTGAAGGACAATGAATGATGAAACAAAATATTTCTAAGGTGCTTTGTTGTCAGTGCCCATTCTTTGTGAAACACCAATAAGAAGAAAACAAAACAAAACATAGACCACTGATCGTGACAAGCTAAGATGGAAACTGTCAATAATTTCAAACAGTACATAAAAACATGACCAGTGACACACTACCCATTCATTGAGTTAGAAGATGCCACCAACGTCTAGTCAAAGAAACTGCAGGTACCCAACGGTTTTTGATTAAATGCTATCTCATCCTGACTTAAATAAATTCAACATAAACCAACATGACAAATCATTATAGTCCATCACCTATCATGCTATTATTTGCCATCCTCAGCACCTATGTGGACAATGATACTTGATAATAAAATAATAATCCTTCAAATGTGGGTTTGCTGCCATTAAAACAGGTTCAAAAAGCAACATGTTGCATTCTGTCTAAATCATCATTATATCACAGCTTGACCAGCATTTATCCTCTAATAAATATAACACCTAAAAGGTCAGTGACCTTTTTGCATACACTTTCCACACATGACCAATTTCCCCTTAAGCCCTGCAGTCATAGAAACTGGTGTGTAAAATCTGAAGTGACATTTGAAATAAAAACAAAACCGTGTTAAGAGCTGATTAAAGTGCTTCAATCATAGTGTGTTTTCTAATCTTATGCTTTAAATATGTGTGAAGTTTAGACGGAAAGTAGAAGAGTGTCAGCCACATTTTTCCACTTTCTCATTTGCAATATTTGAAATAACTGCTTGATTATGATTAATAATATCCCCAAAGTATTATCAACCAGTCAATACCTTGGGTAACACAAAACATTGATACATGCACTGATACATGTCTAATCCACATGTACTGTAACTGTAGGAAGTAACATCCTTTTACCAGTGATGGTGATGCAGCATCGTGGCTGCATGGATGCCATCACTACAACGAAACTCATACAGCACACCTGCTGATAGAATACTGTTACAACACTCTGCAACAAATGTCTTTGGGGATATTAACAACTGAAACTGAAATGAAATTTAACAAGTGTTTTTAAACTTGAGATACAACAGAAAAATATAAAGGTGATCGTTGTGACCTCGCTGCCCTTAAACAGCTAGAACTGAAAGAAAATCATCGCCCCTTACACTTCTCACTGTCAACGAGTGTGTGCAAAGCTCCTCTGATATCCCTCCATCACCGTCAAAAGTTGAAGGTCATGGACTGGAGCACAAAGTTTGGCCATTCCATGATAGAAAAATAATAATAATAAAAAAACATTACTTTATACAAGTCTCCCATTAAAGATGGCTAGTTGGAGCTAAATGTTCAGTCTCTGTGAAGCTGACGAGTCACACGTACAAGCAAACACATGTGACATGTCTCTGTTGACCACTATTCTTAGGAGGTGTCCCTGGGTGCTGTGCTGAGGCCGATGATCGTGTCAGAGAAAGGGCCGAGGTGGGGGAGTCCGGAATCATTATAGTTGCTTCACATAGTTTCCTGGGAAAGTTCCAAACAACTTGCTCCTTCGCGAGGTCCCTTTAGAGAGAACAAGCAATAAAATGAAATTGTCAGTCTTTGAAGCACTGGCTGAAACTTGCTAGTAGCTCAGGCCCAGTACAGTCTGGAAACCAGCCAACTGTGGAGATTAAATTCAAAACTGAAAAACATAAAAACATTTTTAGAAGGTAA